ATGGAGATCTGGATTTGCAAAATTCAAATTCCTTGTGTACCTTCACCCTGTTAATAGCTGCTTCTTCTAAACAGCTATTTGGAGGGATTTTTGCCTTCTCATCAAATTGGCCAGGTTACCAAAGCACATGTACCCTCTAGGATGCAGATCCGTAGAGAGAGATTTTTCACTAGACAGAAATCAATAAATGATCAGACATGACAGCACAGAGCTCTGTGCGGGCTAATTTACCCAGGTAACAAAGACAAATTAGATTGTAAGATCCCAGAGATACCACGGCCAGACTGCTTCCATTACAGCATTGCCCATCTAAAAATAGTTCATGTAGGTTTACAAGGTGTGAAAGCGAGTAGCAGAAGACATATCCAAAGACAGGCTTCTGGCTTGCAATACCCTCCCATCAACATCAGTTACAAGCAGACAGACAGCTCTGAGGAGCAGAATGATGCCACTAGCTTAGAACTCTGGATTTAAGGTGATTGCTCTACAGCAGTATTAGTAAGGCCGTGTTACCAAAGCTCTTAATGGATGCACAGTTAATCCCAGTGAAAGGGGTCTGCTGGCACAGCTTAAACGAAGTCCTCAAGTGGAAAAAAAGCAATACCAGCAAAAGGTCTTTTTCCAGCTGACCTGCACTGATATAAAGCGTTTGGTGCTAGGCACACCTCTGCCTTGTTCTCACTCCTCTTGGACAGAGCTCTGTCACATCGGCCCAACCCTTGCGCCTGACGCTCTGCACCTTTGACTGCTTACACACTGGCATTTGGGACACACACCTCATTTGGGACCTGATGAGGTGCATCCACGGGTCCCAAGGGAACTGGCAGATGAAGTTGCTAAGCCACTATCCATCATATTTCAGAAGTTGTGGCAGTCTGGTGAAGTTCCCAATGACTGGAAAAGGGGAAACATAGCCCCCATCTTTAAAAAGGGGAAAAAAGAAGACCCAGGGAATTACGGGCCAGTCAGTCTCACCTCTGTGCCTGGCAAGATCATGGAGCAGATCCTCCTGGCGACTATGCTAAGGCACATAGAAAATAAGGAGGTGATTGGTGACAGTCAACATGGCTTCACTAAGGGCAAATCCTGCCTGACTAATTTGGTGGCCTTCTATGATGAGGTTACAGCATTGATGGATAGGGGAAGAGCAACTGACATCGTCTACCTGGACTTATCCAAAGCATTTGATACTGTCCCACACGACATCCTTGTCTCTAAACTGGAAAGACATGGTTTTGATGGATGGACCACTCGGTGGATAAGGAATTGGCTGGATGGTCGCACTCAAAGAGTTATGGTCAACGGTTCAATATCCACGTGGAGGCCAGTGACGAGTGGTGTTCCTCAGGGGTCAGTACTGGGACCAGTGCTATTTAACATCTTTGTTGGAGACATGGACAGTGGGATTGAGTGCACCCTCAGCAAGTTTGCAGATGACACCAAGTTGTGTGGTGTTGTGGACACGCTGGAGGGAAAGGATGCCATCTAGAGGAACCTTGACAGAGGCTGGAAAGGTGGGCCTGTGAGAACCTCATGAAGTTCAAAAATGCCAAGTACAAGGTCCTGCACATGGGTCGGGTCAATCCCATGCACAAGTACAGGCTGGGCGAGCAGCCCTGAGGAAAAGGACTTGGGGGTGCTGGTGGATGAGAAGCTCAACATGAGCTGGCAATGTACGCTGGCAGTCCACAAAGCCAACCGTATCCTGGGCTGTATCAAAAGGAGCATGGCCAGCAGGTCAAGGGAAGTGATTCTGCCCCTCTACTCAGCTCTCGTGAGACCCCACCTGGAATACTGCCTTCAGCTCTGGAGTCCCAACACAAAAAGGACATGGAGCTGCTGGAAGGAGTCCAGAGGAGGGCCACGAAGATGATCAGAGGGCTGGAGCACCTCTGCTATGAAGACAG